ACAAGAAACTTGCCATACCCAGCGAAGCTCTCCTTTTTCTAACTAAAGATAAAGAATTTGTTCCCCAGGAAGTTGGTGTTTGATCAGAATTCAAGATTTTCTCTGAAACTGCAATTTATTTTTGTAGTATTTCTCTCTAGAAGGTTAGTTCCTCAATGTTATCAATCTTTAGAGGTTGGTGGTTCGCACTCATTCTCCCTATTGAAGTTCATATTTCCTTTACTCTACATAAGATCAAATGTGCAAGATAGTCGTTCGGAAGATCATTGTCTTCTCAAGTATTCGATTATTGATGTGCTTTCCCCCAGTGCATTGTTAAGCATGCATCATTACATTGTATCTATCAAAACATGTAGCATTTCCATTGTATGGAACATTACGCTAAAAAATTCAAACATGCATAAGTAGAAAATCCAATTATGTTTACTTGTGGTAACCAGATTGTTATGCGCTCAGATTCAAATTATTTCTATAGCAAGCCTAGGTTGGTCCCATTATGTTTCCCCAATGGAGTTTGTTTTGGTTTGTCATCAGTCGGGTCTTTGGTATAATTTCCATTCCCTAGTAAGTCATGATTTTCTATTGCCCTTGCAAGCCTTTGGTTATTTCACCCATGTTTGCTTTAACTGTCAGAGTGCGAGTTGGAGTCAGTGTATAGCCTTTCTTATTCCTCAAGTATTTGAGTGTCCATACTTGGTGTGTGGTAATTCAAATGATTTCCACTCTTGAAGAATTACACCTCGCCTTTGGGCCTGAGGAATTTCGTATTTCTTGCGTATTTGCAACTATTAAAGTCCAACATGTGTTGGCAATCCTTGTTTAGGATCCTTAAAATTGGTCTCTCTTTTCTAATCATAGGGTTCGTCTTTGCCCGATGTTCTCTTTTCTCTGGAATTCACCTTTGCCCGGTGTCTTTCCATTTTAGGTCCACCTTCACCCGGTGTCCCTTCTTGTTGTTTAGAGGTTCGTCTTTGCCTGACGTTCTCTTTTCTTAGGTAAGTTCACCTTCGCCTGGTGTCTTTCCATTTTAGGTCCACCTTCACCCGGTGTCCCTTCTTGTTGGTTAAGGTTTGTCTTTGCCCGACGTTCTCTTTTCTTTGATAAGTTCACCTTCGCCCGGTGGCTTTGCATCTTAGGTTCACCTTCGCCCGGTGTCCCTTTTTGTAGTTAGGGTTTATGCCCGACATTCTCTTTTCTTTGGTAAGTTCACCTACTCCTGGTGTCCTTCCATCTTAGGTCCACCTTCGCCCGGTGTCCCTTTTTGTTAGTTAGGATTCGTCTTCGCCTGACATTCTCTTTTCTTAGGTAAGTTCACCTTTGCCCGGTGTCTTTCCATCTTAGGTACACCTTCGCCTAGTGTCCCTTCTTGTTAGTTAAGGTTCATTTTCACCCGACGTTCTCTTGTCTTAGGTAAGTTCACCTTCGCCCGGTGTCTTTCCGTCTTAGGTCCACCTTCGCCCGGTGTCCCTTTTTGTTGGTTAAGGTTCGTCTTCACCTGATGTTCTCTTTTCTTCGGTAAGTTCACCTACTCTCGGCGTCTTTCCATCTTAGGTTCACCTTCGCTCGACGTCCCTTTTTGTTGGTTAAGGTTCATCTTCTCCCGACGTTCTCTTTTCTTCGGTAAGTTCACCTTCGCCCGATGTCTTTCCATTCTAGGTCCACCTTCGCCCGGTGTCCCTTCTTGTTGGTTAAGGTTTGTCTTCGTCCGACGTCCTCTTTTCTTTGGTAAGTTCACCTTCGCCAGATGTCTTTCCATTCTAGGTCCACCTTCGCCCGGTGTCCTTTCTTGTTGGCTAAAGATCATCTTCGCTTGATGTTTTCTCTTCTCCAGAATTCACCTTTTCCCAATGTCTTTCCGTCTTAGGTTTACCTTCGCCTGGTATCCCTTTTTGTTGGTAAAGTCCGCCTTTGATCAGTGTTCTATTCAGAGTCAATGTATATTTGTATCCTCAGTAAGTTCGCCTTTAACTGGAGTCCCTTTGTTAGAGCCTTCTTCGATCAGTCTCTATCTTGTGTATGTATAACCTTGACCTGACATCCAAGAGATTTACGCAGATAACTACTACAATCAAAAAAGCAAGCAAAATAGAAGATACAGAAAATAAAAAATATAATAATGTCTGACTGGCTTCGGAGTGCAAATTTTTGGGTTCTTGTAGTATTTAATCTTCTTCCACCTTGAAAGTTCGAAAGGCCGGCGCCAATCTCACTTCAGGTTTAAGACGATTAAATAAGGGCAGCTATTGCACCTCAAAATTTCCCTCCTATTTTATACTTTTATCTGCCTTATACTTTGCATTCATCTGCATCGTTCCAATAAGTCATGTGCACAACATGCATTTTCATTAAAAAAATAGAGCACCGGACGTTCAAAAAATCAATAGTTATGAAGCTAGGGTTTACAGCTGATTAAATGTGTATGTGTTTAATAAGATTGATTATTTTATTTCTTCTTGGTGTATAAGGCTGTGGAATTAAGGTTTTGGTTCATGTTCAGTTTGGACTTCCTCTCCATCAAGCTCCAAGGCTATTCTCCATCATTGACCATCAAGAGTAAATGAATTAGGCTTTCTAGTCCTTTGTTTTTGGGGATTGGTTTGATTTTTATCTGAGGTGCCCTTCTAATTACAATCCAATGGTTTATTCAAGGATGAACCGTTGGATGCAAGACTTTCCTGGAAGCTTGTGAATCAAGGTATATTTTCTTATGGTTATATTTGAGTTTATCGTTTGGGTCAAGACTCGTCACATTGAACTTTCATCAATTCAAGATGTGTGGATCAAAGTCTTTGTGCATAGGAACATTTGGGAGTTCATCCATCTCACACTCCATCAAGCTAGGACTCTAGCATATTGTATAACTAGTTGAGGCTTGCGAGCCAATGTTTTGAACGACAAGTTGGCTTCAAAAGGAAGTTGATTTAGATTTAGACATGAAGTGCAAATCGCATAGGAAAGATTGCAAGTATTCATTCAGGTATTGATTCAAAGATTATTCAACATCATTCTACATCATCTAACAAGTCAAGTTTAAGACATCCATCATTTATTTATATTGTCATCACAAAATCATCATTATTTCATACAAAATACTGAATCAAAAGAGGAAATACGGTTTAAAAGAAAAAGCGATTGGAATTTTTTGAACGGTGCATCATTTGATTTCAAGGAGTTCTAAGTTCATTCATTATAAAGTTCAAGTTTTTCAACCATTACAAAGCCTTTGTTACTACATTAAAAGTTCATTTAATCATACATAGAAACCTAAAAATAATCGTTAAGCCTACAACATCTCTTCACCCAATTTCCTCCATGTTTTCATCAAGCTTTGCGTCCCGTTTTCCTTGCAAAACATGGTTCAAAATCTGTCCTAAACATGCTTTAACCAAGTTGATCAAACCTGCATCAAAATACCCTCACCGTGTCTGCAACAGTTCAGCCCTGCATATAAACATATTGCAGCATGCTCACAAAACCAAACCTGCACATAAGATCAGTCCAACAAAAATCCAGTTAACATTGCATACCTTCGTGAAACAGATCACATGATTCAGTTAAATACAATCCAGCACTTTTAGAATTTAACAGTTCATAACTATTCAAACAAGACCTCCAATTAATTTTCAGATCTTTCAACCAACCTACTAACAGGGTTGATTCTAACATTAACTTACAGTTTTACTAACATTTTCCAACCCTTCTTTTGCTAAATAGATTTAATATTCAAGTACGGTAGATAACAGTGAGTTGTCACTGACATGATTTTTATTTTCGATTTCCAAGACCTCCTAACCTTTTTTCAGTTAACCTCTTACATGTCTTGAATAATAGCCTCTAACAGCTTTACTAACAAAGTTTCTAGCACTTTATGAACATTCTAATAGATTTTAACTAACACCCAATCTTTTTATTTCATCCTATAACCACCTATAACTGACAGCTAATATTTCTAGTATTAAGCTCATAACTAAAAACTAAACTAAGCCTAGCTTCAAACCAATTCAAACTAATCCTAACTGTCAAAACAAAATTTTATAACTAGCTCCTAACAGTTTTTTAATTAAACCAACTTTCAGTAGGATTTCCAGTTTAAAACAGAAATTACTAACAAAACCCATATTAATTGTTAACCTAATAACGACTCTTACAAACTAACTTGTTTTCAAAAGCTAACAAACTTTGAAATCCGTTATAACAGAACTTCCAACTTACTCAATCTCATCCTCCATTTCATAACAGAAAATCAAAATCTAAGGCCCGGATTTATTCAGCTCTAACTAACTTCCTAACCATAACAAAATTATATAACAGAAAAACTCACCTTTGATAATTATTATCGAATCTCTGAAGAATCAATCAGAAAAATCTCTAAAAATTGCTCTCTCCTTCTCATTTTGATTCTAAAATAAAAACCAAGAAAACTCCATAAACATCTGGCTTCTTCTCCTCCATTTTCTACTTCATCTTCACCATCATTTTTCACTTCATCAGAAGAATCACTGCAAAAAACTCAAAAGTTCTCTCTGCACTCTCTCCAATCATCATCATCCTCACGCACCAATATCTCTTATAAACCCCACACACCTGCAAATGCTTCATCTTCACCTGCTTCAAATCACAATAACATTTATCTATATCTTGAATCATCATCTTCGCATAACAATCTGCAACAAACGCCTCTCTGTAACAATGTCAATGTTGCAGCCGCATCGATAAGAACATCAAATTTTCACTGAAACTTCAATGTGAACAACAACAACATAATTTTTGTATCATTCATTGCACAACAGAACTCAAAAACACAAAAGAATGAGAAGATCAAGAAGTAGAAGAAGAAGTCATGCAAAGAGTTAAGGGATTTCGTACCTGAATATGTAAGAGTCTCTGGTTTTCGCATCATCTTCATCGATTAAAGGCGCACCGGAAAAACTCTGGTAGGTGCCTTGCATTTTTTTCTCTTCAATTTATTCATCCTTTCCATTTGCTATGGGAAAACAAGATCAAAATTGAGAATCGTACGAAACAATGATGAGCACTAAAATCGTGAATAGATAAGAGAAAAGAACAAATGTGATCATTCTACAGCGGCACTGTGAACGATTGAGGCAGAGGTCAATCGATGATGAGGAAGTAGAAGAGTGAGAGGGCCGTGTGAGATGGGAAAAGGACAAGATGAGCGCGCCGCAGAGGTGGTGGTCACAACATCTTACAGTGACGTGACCACGATAGTGTTCAATGATTGAAGAAGGGGGTGAGCTGCGCGGTGGTTTGGTTGCAAAGAGGAAGAAGATTAAGATATCGGGAAACTGAATCGTCACAGAGTTTTGAACCCTAATCCTCTTTCTATTTTTGTTTTGCATTTGTTATTTTTTTATTTTTCTTTTTTATTCACGTACCATATATTATTGGTAATAAAACAAAAAAATGTTGAATATAATAGGAAATTTGGTTTGGTGCTTGTTGGGCTGGATTGATTTTCATTAGGCTCATAACAAATCTTTTTTTGGCACACTTGGTTGCCTTGGACAAAAACAAATTACTGGATTTAACTTGACACGCCTAGCGCCCAGACTACTTCCACACTCCTGGATTGCTGCAATACACCATCTGATTCTTCACCCCTCTATTTTGTAATTGATTTTTAGATTTTGCTAATTTTTTTTCTTTTTTTCTTCTTGAAATTTAGTTAACAAAAATAGTGAAAACAATTAAATTTGTTAATTGCTTTTAGGGAATATAATGGTATTTTTCTAGGATTTATTTTTAGAATTTTTGTTAGAATTTTCTATTATTATTTATGTTTAGTAATCATTTTGTTACTTTAGATTTCTAATTCACCTTTTCTTGTTGAGATTTGAGTTGTATGCAGATTTATTATGTAATATTCGGATATGTGTGGTGCGTATTTCGATTGTGATTTATTTTCACATCGATGATGCTTCGACGCTTATTCCGAGCATTTGGTTTCTGAATCTTTTCTTTGATTGGTGAAGCTTTCGCGAAGATTGTCGGATTTCTTTATTTTGATATGCTTTGCTACGGATTGATATACGTTCGGCATTTTCCCTTATTTATCTCATTTCAGCACTTTACTGCTTTCTAGATATCATGAGAAGTAGGAAATAAAGAGTGTGCACTCGAAGTTGCTGTTTAAAGACCTGTAGCAGGCATTTTGCACTTCATTTGCTATATGTGTTGTGCTTGTGTTTGTTTCCTTGGTTGTTGATCGATGAGTCACTCAATTTAGAAATTGAGATCACGACTTCACTCTCAATGCGTGCTCCCTTTAGAATTTTATCGCTTTCCTTGATTTCTTGTTGATCGATGAGTCACTCGATTTAGAAATTAAGATCACGACTTCGCTCTCATTGCATGTTCCCCCGTAGGATGGTTTTTGTTAGACTTTGTTTGGTATGCTAGCCTAGACAAAATCTCTCTAGGTGTGCTCTCTTAAGCTAGCTCTCTTGAGCTTATTGGCTTGCTTGTTTAATTTCATCTTTGTGTGCATGTTTTGAGATGATATACCCTAGGCATGTTCCCTTAGGAGCTCTCGATTCAACTATAGATGATGGTTCGAGATAGACATAGTTTTAGGTGATAGACCCTTGCTATGCTCCTTTAGGACTTCTTGGTTCATCTATAGATGATGAGTTGAGATAGACATTATGTTTGTTATCCAAGCATGTCAACTTAAGGTAGAGATTTTCCTTTAAAAATCAACCGTAGAACCACCATTGTATGATAACATTAGGGATAGATTTAGGCTAGTCTCCCTTATATGTTTTTATTTCTTTTGCATTTGCATTAAAACAAAAAAAAAAACTTCTTTTTCTTGCAAACTTCAAAACACTTAAAGATTACTGATGAGAGTCATATCATTGTTGAGCATGGGAAATGATAAGCAGGTTTCTTCTCGATATTATTGTTCTTCCATTCTAAGCCATGGTGTGGTTCAAGTCTCAAAGACTTATTTCATGAATAAGTGTAAAAGTGGTTAAAATCTCTCTCTTGAGATCAATTAGTCATTATCCACAGCAAAAACACCAACCAACGCAAACTCTTTTGCCTTTGGAACTTTCTTTCAAACTCTTTTCAAAAGAACAGGTTAATTCACTTATGTGCTGATGCGTAAGTCTCCAAAGGTCGAGTTACGGTAGAAGGCGAAATTAATATTGTTCATTAAAAAATACAAACCAACAAAAAATTTTGAAGCCGAACTATGGCTTCTCTGATTCCTTAAAAGGGATACATAGGCATTGGGGTAGGGCCCGAACGAGCACAACTTTTATTTTCCCTACATTATTTTCTCCTTTCTTTTGCATGCATTCCCTGTACAGCTTAGATATAGATTTGAAACACACCCATAAGATAGACAACAAGAGTGGATACCGTATAATACTATGGGTGTGTGGGGTGCTAATACCTTCCCCTTGTGTAACAGACTCCCTTACCCAATCTCTCAGTCACAAGACCATGACTTCTCCCTTCTCAGGTTTTCTCGATGTTTACCTTTCCCTTCTTGTGGGATAAAAGATGTTCGATGGCGACTTCATTGTTTGATGATTTTCAGTCGGTTGTTTCAGCAGTGTGTTGGCGTAGTACCTTGCTCACCAACCAGTTGATGATTATCAGTGTGTCAAGTATGATTTCCATGATGAGGATGTGATGTATTTAAAAGTTAAAGATTGTGAGGAGCCTTTGCCTGAAGAAGGTCCTGATCCCGAATCCTGGTGGGGTATGGTGTTTGATGGAGCTATAAATGCTTATGGAAAAGGAATTGATGTTCTAATTATCACTCCCCATGGATCTCATATCCCTTTTACTTCAAGGTTGGCGTTTTACTGTACCCATAACATGGTGGAGTATGAAGCTTGTATCATAGGTCTTGAAGAAGCTATGGACCTGAGAATAAAAATTCTTGATGTATATGGTGATTCATATTTGGTAATAAATCAGATTAAAGGAGAATAAGAGACTCGTCACCTTGACTTGATTCCCTACAAAGATTATGCAAGAAGATTGTTACCTTTGTAAGTATGAGGTGCGCCTAAGAGGGGGGTGAATTAGGTACTTTAAAATTTTTCTGGTTTTAGTGATGATGGATATTATTTTTCTGGTTTATGGTGAGTTTATGAAAGATTAAAGAGGAAAAAAATAAAGAGACACAAGCGATATATCCTGGTTCCCCTCACAGTCCGAGAGTACTCCAGTCCCCTTTCAACATGAAAGAGATTTCCTTATTGTGGCAAACTTAAACAAGAACTACCAAAAACAAAGAACAATCCTCTTGGACCAAGAACAATCCTCTTGTATTTTCACTATGTCGACAATGAGAACAATCCTCTTAAAGTTACTTTACTTGTATCCAACAATCCTGGAAAAACAAGATTTACAAAACCACTTAAACTTATTTTCAACAATCCTGAAAAATAAGCAAGTATATAGTAATATTTGATTTGAGTGAGTTTGAGTAGCAATGATCACTTTGAGTGATTTTATCAATGAATTGATCTTCTCTTCCAATGATAATAGTATACAATGACTCAAGATATATAATGCTCAAAGTTTTTTGGTTGACAATATGTGAAAGTGTGCATAAAACTTGTGTATGAAAATGTATAACAGCTTGGGTTTGATTTTTGGAAATTCAGAAAATATGATTGGAAGAGGTGCTTAAAATGATTTTGAAAATGATTATTTATATGTTCATAGAACCTTTTTGAAACAGCATAAAACTTTTGCAAATGAATCATGAACAATTGCCAAGATTGAGTGAAAGGTTTCCATGAATTGGTGTTATGAACAGGCATGAGTAAAGTTGTTGTTTTTCAAAATCGTTCAGCATGCAATCGATTGCACCCTTATGTAAATCGATTGCACGGGGTATTAACAGCTAGAAATTCAAATATTTTGAGTGAGCAGTCGATTGCACAAGTGTGTAAATCGATTGCACTTGAAGTCAGTAGCAAAAAATTGATTGAGAGTAATCGATTGCACAAACATGCAAATCGATTGCACTTAGAAACAGTAGCAAATGTTTTGAAAAATTGAAGCATGCAATCGATTGCACCAATATGCAAATCGATTGCACCCAAGTAAAAATTGCATTTTTGCTTAGAAAAACTTGAGTAAAGGTTTGGATAATATAAAATATTTCTTTTGACCATTGAGCATTTATGTCTTAAGTTCAAAGTAAGTATTATCATTATACCTTGAAATTTGCTAAGTGCTTGAACCAAAGACTTTATCCACATATTCTTTTAGCTTGATCAATAATCTTTGCCTTCTTGTAAAAATGGTTTGTCTTCATCAAAACAAAAGTGCATTTGGGAAGCTTGATTTTACATTCTCCCCCTTTTTGATGATGACAAACGATCTTGCTTGATGCGTTGTAATTTATGGAAAGAAGCTTCTCCCCCTAAGATGCATAACTCCCCCTTTGTATGAGAAGGTTGGAATCCTTTGAATTTGTTCATCTTGGTTGAAGAGTACCTTAGAAATCTAAGACAGGAAATATACAAGCATAAAGTGCCACATCTTTCTCCCCCTTTGACATTATCAAAAAGAAGGGAAAGATGCAATAAAAATGGAAAATAATAAAACAACATTAAAAAAACTTAATCAATCATGCATCACAAATAGTCATAGACATAGTCATAGTAACATAACAATTACAAAGAAATTTGAACAGCAACAAACAAAATGTAGCATAACTGAACAAGGACATAATAGAAAAAATAGTAGAAATAACGAAGTTGGACAGAACTTTATGGTTGATTCATGTCACGGTTGTTATAGAACCAGGATCTTTGATTGGGAAATTGTTGTTGTAGAGGAGGTTCTGTGTAATGTTGTAGAGGTGCAGCAGGATTATTAGGGTCGTATGGAGGTATATGAAGGTGAAAGTAAAGGTAGGAAAATTGTTGATTCACATCTGTGCAAAAATCATTGATCCGGGTTGTTGTAGAATCGTTGATAGCATTCTATTGGTTGTTAATTCCATGGTATTCATGGAAGTAAATTATTGAGACATAAAATCTATAAGATCTTGATTACTTGGACCAGAGGGAGTAGTAGGTGGAGGAGGTACATCTTCACCACCTTCTTCTTGATCGTGTCCTTCATCACCAACCACATCTTCACCAATGTAAGTTATAGTTTTTGTTTTCGGATTATAATGAACACCCATTCTTGAGTCGATATTTTTTATTGAAATCTTATGCACATTTGGATCCATATTAACTCTTTCAAAACTAGAAAATCAACTCCAAATTCTTCCATAATTAATGTAACAAAGTAAGCATATGGTATAAATTTTGACTTTCCATCAACCATCAGCATATGAACCATTATGAGTCTT